TGTTGTTGTTGTTGTTGTTTTTTGCTGTTGTTGGTTTTTTTTTTTCCATATCCAAAGCCAAAGTTGTGCTGGATTCACAATATTGTTAGGAAATGTCTCCTTTTTTTTTTTTTTTTTTTTTTTTAGTTCTTTGACTTTCCCCACTTCCCTTGAACTTTTTTATAGACAAGATCAGGGAAGAAGAGCTTTATGTACAGATATAATTTCTGGGATAGTTACAGATCTATTGAAATCTGTTTCTTCTGGATCCATATTGGTAAGTTTCGTCCAGTTTTTCTTAAAATTTCAAATCTGTCAGCATGAAGATATATAGTTTTGGAATAACATCCGTGTGAGGAATCTACAGTGACATCACTCATTCTTGAGGCTGATCATTTTCAGTAAATTTCATTGAAAGAGCTGACTCTCACTGGAGGTTATGGCTCAGGCCTAACGCCAGAACTCAGGGTGCGGGAGTAGTAGAAGAATGGAGAATTTAAGGCTGGCCAAGGCTACAGGAAATGAGTTCCTGTCTCAAAAACAAAAGAAAAAACCATAATAAAACATGCCTCCCTTTCTGTGTGAATTAATAATATAAAAACTTCCCAGCTCATCTGAGAAGCTTGGTTTGGAAATATTTATGTCTGAATGTTGTGACTTATCAGGATGCTATGTCTGTCAGAAGAAGACATTTGCAAAGCATGCTTCGAGCGGAGGGAAGGGGAGGGGAGGGGAGGGGAGGGGAGGGGAGAAAGGGGCAGTCCAGAAGCACGAGGCACCGAGGATCATCTTGGTGTCTTCGTTGGTACACTCACAGGTTAAAACACAGCACAGCCAGAATGATGAGGAGGAGCTCCAGGTAGGGGCTGGGCGTGGCTGTTGGACCTCTTTGTTGGTCTTCCCAATATGGCCTGTTTGTACATCTATTTATGCGTCCCAAAATACAAAAACAGTACAGTGTGCTCTCTAAACTCTAAATATCTAGAAAGGAAATTTTGGCCCAGTGAACTAGTTCAGCAGGTAAAAACACCTGCCATTCAAGCCCGATGACCCGAGTTCAATCCTTGTAACCCACGGTGGACAGAGAACACTGATTCTAAAGGGCTTTCTTCCTCTGGCCTCTGCACACTCACCGTAGTACACCACACTCACCATAGCACACCACACTCACCATACTCACACACAAGCATCATATATGTGAGCTTTTTTGTTGTTGTTGTTGCTGTTACTGGGGAAAAGAAATTTGCAGTTAGTAGACCAAGCTGCCTGGAATTTGTATTCTTCTGCTTCAATCTCCTGAGTGCTGGATTAGAGGCGTGTGCAGCCATGCTTGGCCTAATTAAGCATAATCTCAGTAACGATGGAAGAAGAACCAACCTCTGCTCTCCATGCAGCAGATGTAGTAAATGTCATTGCTTTACCAGAGTGGCTTCCTGTTGTGGTTTTCATTTCTTGAAGTGGTTAGATTTAAGCAAAAACGTGGTTGCAGTTTTATTCCCGGCCATTTTCAGATGTTGAGCTTGAGATGTTTTGCCCCCACTCCCACCCCTTGAAAAAAAAAGCACATATGCTTTAAATGTAAACAGGTAACTGACCTGACATTGATAATAAAATGTATTTCAATTGTTGAACCCCTTCATCCTTTTCTAGATGTAAGTTATAATCTTTAGATTTAAATATTTCTTTTCCATGAGCTCCCCTTGTTCAGGTCAGCTGTTTCTGTGGGTTTCACCCACCCAGTCTTGACCCCCTTGCTCATCACTCCTCCCTCTCTGCAACTGGTTTCCAGGAGTTCAGTTCAGTGTTTAGCTGTGGGTATCTACCTCTGCTTCCATCAGCCACTGGATGAAGGCTCTAGGATGGCATACAAGGTAGTCGTATAGGGGAAGGGCATTGAAGGCAGCCTCTCCACTATTGGTTAGATTGTCAGTTGGAAATCTCACTAGTGTCAGCTCTCTCCTCAAACCTATCATGGCTCCCTCTATTATGGTATCTCTCATCCTGCTCTCCTCTATTCTTCCCCAGACTCAACCTTCCTGCTCCCCCATGTCATCCTCTCCCCTCCTCTTCCCCTCTCTTTCTCCCAGTTCCCCATCTTCTCCCAAATATTTCTTTTCCAAAGAAAAATGTTTCCTGGTAAGAAATCTCTGCAGAGATGCATATAAAACCTACATTAAAAAGTTGTTTTTGCCGGGTGGTGGTGCCACACCTTTAATCCCAGCACTCGGGAGGCAGAGGTTGGTTGGATCGCTGTGAGTTCAAGGCCAGCCTGGTCTACAGAGAGAGTTCCAGGACAGCTAGAGAAACCTGTTTCAAAAAATCAAAAGACACACATACACACACACACACACACACACACGAGACAGAGACAGAGAGACAGAGACAGAGAGACAGAGGTTATTTAGGGCATATGGCTCCATTGGTCGAGCTTGCCTAATATCCGATAAGTCCTGAGTTTGATCACCAGTAAGCACTGCCAACCAGACATGTAGTACACATCTCAGCATTCAGGGGATACAGGCAGGAGGAGCAGAAATTTAAGGTCATCCTTTACTCCACAGCAACTTTGAGGCTAGCCTTAACTACATAAAGACCCTGGTGTCAAACAAAAAACAACTTAAAAGTTCAGAAACCCAACTTGGTTTTTATTTGTAAATATAAAAATTGGTTTCCCATTTCAAAAGTCCATAGTACCCAAACTGAAGGATCTCACATAGCTTGCATCATAAAGTGTCAGGGTCCGAGCAGGTGGTGGTCCCTGCTTGGCCTCATATTCCAAATGGGAGGAACACTTCGGGTTACTATTGCCATGTTTGCTTTTCTCCCTCCCCCCTTTTGTTTTTTCGTTTCTTCTCTTGTAGACAAGGCTGGTCTTGAACTCACAGAGATCCTTCTGCCTCTGCCTCCTGAGTGCTGGGATTAAAGGCGTGCGCCACCACCACCCAGCTTTCTTTCCCGTCTGAAGATACTTATTATTGTGAATCTGTGTCTGAGTGGGGTCTGCGCCTCCTTCAGAGGCCAGAAGCCCTGGATTCCCCTGGGGATGTGAGCTGCCTGTATAGTGCAGGGAAGGAAACTGGGAGAGCTGTATGCACTCAGCCACTGAGCCGTCCCTCCGGCCCTGACTCGTTTCCTACCCTGCTCAGGAAAAGTGCGGCGTAATTGATCCCCAGCCTGTGAAGCACTGCTAAACAAGTTGGTGGTCATAGCCACTGAAAATGTCTGCATCGTCAGGGTGTTGGAAGGGTGTATTCGGGGCGGTATGGTACGATGAGCCTTTCATCCACTGATCGATTAGTCCTGCCTGGCGCTACCCTGTTGTATGGTTCGGAGGGCGGAGATTTGGAGTGAGACCTCTTAGAGGTGAGCTCTGATTCTTCACTTTAGTAGACGTGCCCGCCTTTATCAGGATGATTACCTTTTGAACTGTTTACTATCTATACGATGTGAAATCTCCTTGGGCCCTGCTGGGAGAGCATTTCCCCACGCACCGACAGCTCTGGTCATGGGCCACCTTTCGTGGTAGGGTGCAGGGCAGCTTTGACATGGAAGTGGGCTCCCAGGAGGGTCGCTTCACCTGACAGTCTTAAATTGTGTTTGTTTTTTTTACCTTTCCCTCTCCTAGAGCACGCTTGATATTTGCTATAAGTGTGTACAGTTTCGTATCAAGCCTAAATCTTTTTCTCGAGACCAAAAGGGGAATTGCAGTGATATATTCACCAACCCCCACCTGTAGCACCCACCACGCCTTTTGCGGGGCGTGGTCACAGTTGTGGACGTGACCGGTTAAAAGGAATAGGGTTGGGGCTCAGAAGCCCCTTCAGGTCCTGGAGAGCATCCGGGTGGCAGGGTCTGCATCCTTGGAGCTGGAACGTCACTTGTTTTCCTGTATAAGTTCTTTTTCCCCAAATAAACTCCACTTCATTCTAGACTGAATCAAGGGAGTCCTGGTTTCCACGCCGATACAGGAAGGCACAGGTCTGATTTGCTTGTAACGTATTATAAATGATACGGTTATCCTGAGTTTGGACACAGCCACAGTACAAACTCACCATGTCTGCAACAGCCCCCCCAGTTCCCAGCTTCTATGTGACTCCCAAGGGACTCGTCCCGTAAGAGAAGCTGGTACAAGCATGAAATGCAAACTGCGGACTGACCAGAGCAAGCGAGTCTTTGCTTCTGAAGCTCCAAGCCCTTAGCCAAAAGCATGGCACCAGGGTGGGGTGGCAAGGCTGAAAGCTTGCCAACTTTCAGGATGCCTGTGAGAATGGCATGGCGCTCTGAAAAACAAAACACAAAAAAACAAAACCACCACCTTGTGCGTGTTTATCCATACTTCACTGACCTTTTTTTCCGGGATTCAGTTAGGGAGTGTAATAATGAACAGATCTCTGTGGGGGAGATCTACACGACAGACCGAGAGACAGAAACTGGATGCACTTTCCCAGATCCTTCCAAACAACGGATTCAGCCTTCCAGCGCCCGTTTGAGATGTCATCAATCCCGTTACGTACCTGGTAGGGTGCAGCGTGTGCTCATAAGCGGGTAGATGCCGCCGTCTGTCCAGCGGTTCTGTCCCACTGACGTAGATGGTGGATAGACGATGGGAGAGAGAGCGGGCACCATTCTTACCGAGAGAGGTGGGCTGCTGCTCACTCGCTACGACACAGAACTATGGCGTGAGGAGCTGGTGATGCTCTTGCTTCTCCAACAGTGAATCCTGGCTCAGGGGTCTCGTAGCACCACAGTGTTGAAGAAAGGACGGTCCCCACCCTACTTCCACCCCCCACCTCCTGGGCACCTGCCAATGGACTTATCATCTGCCAACATGGCAGTGACCACCCATGGAAAAATCAACCACTGGACAGGGTTTATCATGTTTTAAAAAAAATCACAGCAGAGCTTCCTGCAAAAGCTTCATGGGCAGAGCGAAACAGCATTTCTTTGTCGGGCCATTCTATTAGAACTTCTGCCTAAAGAAAGTGTGGTTCTTTCGGCGAGATGGAACACGAAATATGAGATGCGTTGGTCACAGAGTTTATTCCAGGTGGGGGAGGGGAGGGGGAGACGAGAAGAGATGAAGAGGGTAAGAGAAGAGAGCAAAGAGAGGAGACAGCGTAAGTGGGCGGGGTCTGTCTTTTAAAGGGGTCCTTTGCACCTGTGTGCAGACTAGCTCCAGTGGAACCCTGGGCTGGCCAGAGTGCTGCCTGAGTGCATTCTGCCAGGTAGCAGGGGCGGGCCAGCGTAATGCCTGAACCTTTAATGCCCACCTGTGCTTATTATTAGAAAGGTGGGGAGCTAGGCGTGGTGGGTTAGGGAATAAGGACGCCGAGCTCTCAAGACTGCTTCCTGCTGACGGGGGGGGGGCGTTGACCATCTTTGGGGGGGCCTGAGAAAGTTGGGGTGCTGCCGTGTCCTGGACTTGCTCCATGTTTCATTGCAGTGCAGGCTGTGTGGAACTCTCTGGCGCCTCTGTAGACCTGGCAAGATGTTGGCATAATAGAGGACAAGGTTAAGTTTAAAAATTTGTTTTTCTTAGGTCCTGGTACTTTAGGGGAGTATTGTAAGATGAGGGAGGGGTTCCCCAGGAGGTCCAAAGATGAGAGAAGGGAGCCCCGGGACCATGGAAAGGTTGAATAATATTTATCTGGAGTGAATCTGACCCATTTGGGTGGGTCCAATTTGGCTCCCTGGAATTTACAAGAATCCTTTGAGTTTGTGAAAACATAAGTATTAGACACATTAACAGCATACTTATGTTATAAGCGACTTGGCTGAAAGTGTTAACATATTTAAAACTGACAGATATTTTTAGGACAATGAAAAACACCTTAATTTTGACCTTGTAGTTATGGTATAGTGGTATATGTTGTTTAGTACCCTACCAGCATTTTGACTGAAAGCATTAACATTTTTAAAACTGACAGATATTTTTAACATCTCAAATCACTTTATTTGTCATCACTAAAGCCTTTTTTTAATCCTCAGACCTTCATAACTTTAATTCATACACCTTACGTTACCATCTTATATGGATAAACCTTAAAATACCTCCTGTTCCTGAGATCTGTTTTGTGACAGCTAGAGCCTTGGTTGTTGCTTTAAGCTGGCAAAGCTACCAGTCACCAAAATCATCAGAGTTCTTGAGAAGGATAAAATTTTACCTGAGTTAATGATTAGAGAATAACAGAGACTTGCTGGCTGGCCACATAGACAGCCACCCACAAGGTCCTCCATAGCTGTTGAAGGCAAAAGGCTTTAAGGACACCTGCCTTCTGCTGATAGCATGGGACCTGTGGACCAGGAACTCTAGGAAGGCTTTCCTGCCATTGGCCCAAGCAACATGGAGAAAGTCCATTCCACTGTCCTCTTGTCCAAGGTCTGAGAGTCCTTTGCAGCAGTTGAGGTGAAAGGCAGGGCTGTTTAATGGCCAGCATTGTCACTTTTGTGGGTGGGGTGTCTTCAGTGCCCACCAGTTTTCTTGAAGGAAATGGGGTGGGGCCAGCAGTTGGCCTGTCTCTCTGTTATAAAAAGCTTTTTAATGAGACATTTTAAATGTCATATCCTCTAGGTCTCTAGAGGAAAGTCTGTGTAGCATATAATAGAAGCTTTAGGTTTGTAAACAGCTTACAGGAAGGACTGGGTGGTATAACTATTTCCTTAAGTTAACTTAGACCTTTGTAACTTTAAATGTTTACCATCATTTAAAGATACAAGGTTAAATTTAAATCTCATGACAAGCAGATACATCAAACAGGACTGGTTAGGAGTAAAAAGGGAAAACCAGAGTGTAATCCCTGATCCTGTACATTGTAGCAAACAGACAGGAGATTTAAAGAGACAAGAGTAGACTTAAACTGCCAGTGACAAGAAAGCAGGTCTGCCGAAGGCATTAGAGACAAAAAATAAAAGGCAAAGAAGGTAAATGAATCGTGTCTGTCAGCAGGGTTTGTCGGCAGAAGCTGGTTAGACTGGGGGAAAAGAGTAATCCATAGAGCGGGCTGGCCTACAGCTGGGCCGCATGGCCAAGATGGCAGTTGCCGTAAGCACATTCTCTGTCTGCCAGCAGAAGTGTTTTTTCCTCCATGAGTGAGGCAGAAAGATGTGTGACCACCGTAGGTCTGAGAAACGGATGCATCAGTCTACCGACAGTGCTAGGGAACCCTCAGGGGTCTGAGAAACGAATGCACAAAACCCCAAAACCTCATCGGTGCAGGGGAATTGAAAAAAAAAAAACTCTCAGAGCGTCCCCAGCAGACGCTGGCCCAGGCCAGGCCACTGAGAGCTGCTGGCATCTGCACAGAGAAACTGGACATTCCCAGGTGGAAGAAAGTTCCCACCCTGAGGCAGGTGTAGCCGTGATGGGAAGGGGGCAGAAGCCGCTGTGGCAGGCGGGAGACTTTCAGCATTGAGGGGAGAGGAGTGAAACAGACTAGTGACCAGGAGCGGAGGCCGCACTCCCAACCGTGGGTCACTGGTAGAATGTAGGGCGCCAATAAGTGGGCACATGGTTTGACACGGGGTGGGGGGCGCGCACGGCTTCCATGAGAGAGGCAGAGAAGATCCAAAGCAGGTAATCTCCAGCGTCCCAGGGACTAAGGGAGGATCAGATGCAAAAGGCACCACCTGATTCTGTGGTTCGTCAAGCACAAATCGGGGGCCAGGGCTCCCAGAGCAGGGAGACACGTGGTTCCCCCAGTACTGGAATTTTTCGACCTGTCCTAGAAGGAGAGACCACAGTCTCGATACGAATAGAGTCCTAACTCATGGAAGCAAGGACAGAGTTAGGGAGGAAGGGACAGGCTTACCAGACATGGCGGTGATGGATGGAAGAGTTCAGAGACCCTTACTTGGAAAAGTGACCGAGCTGACGTTTACAGGGTCCCCCGCATCTCAGACCGCCACAGGCAGGAGGAAATGTCGGGAAAAACCTGCTGAGTCATGTTCACCAAAATGTTGTTCTTTTGTTTTAAAGTTGGAAGACGTTGGCTAGATGGAGATGGAGCATGCACCATAGAGAGAGAGTACGTTAATCATAGAGCTTACTACAGGGCCGGAGAGAGTGGGGGGGGAGACAAGAAGAGACGAAGAGGGTAAGAGAAGAGAGCAAAGAGAGGAGAGAGCGTAAGTGGGCGGGGTCTGTCTTTTAGAGGGGTCCTTTGCACCTGTGTGCAGACTAGCTCCCGTGGAACCCTGGGCTGACCAGAGTGCTGCCTGAGTGCATTCTGCCAGGTAGCAGGGGCAGGCCAGCGTAATGCCTGAACCTTCCAGAAAGCATCCAGACTGGTGTGCAGCTTTCTTTAGCTGGAAGAGCCTCTATATAGCATTTCTGGGAATTTATCCTTCAGGTACCATGCCCAGAAGGTGTATCCTTGCCTGTGACCCTTAGTTTTGGGGAGGCTTTTTAGTTTATAAAACATCCCCCCGTTTCTACCACTCACCCCCATGCTTTCTTGCTTTTGTGATATGAGAGAGAGAGAGAGAGACAGAGAGAGACAGAGAGACAGAGAGAGAGAGAGACAGAGAGAGAGAGAGAGAGAGAGAAAGAGAGAGACTATTAAACTATCACTAGCAGGCTTAAAGCACACATCACGCACAACAGAAAGCAGTCCCTTAGCCATGCCATACAAGCGCGGGACCAGCAGCTACACAGGAGTGTGAATGCCACTTTCTGATGACTTCAGCTTCCTGGTGTAGTGAGCTGGGGAAGCAGACAATCTGCTGCTGGCACATTCCTTTGGTGTGACGGTTTCCCAACACTGAGGCCGGCCGTGTATCTTCATCTGTAAACAGGGGCTGCAACGCCTACTTTCTGGCACTGCCAGAACCACACTGACGCCTCGTAAAGGCAGCCCTTGGCTTGTGGGAAGCTTCTCCCTTACCTCTCCTCTTGGTCCTCACACACCTTCACCCCACAGGGAAGCATCCGGTGCAGGGAGGGATGTGACAAAGGGCAGCCAGGGGATACGCCCCATTCTGAAGGCGGGAAGGCGTCTTTTCTTACACTTTCTGACATTTCCCACTTTAAGCACACACACACACACACACACACACACACACACACACACACACACACACACACGGCCAGTGTCTGGTAGCGTTCCGCGTGCGGCAGCTCCTGCAATTGCAGGTGACACCGGCAAATACGAACCAGTACGAAGCAGGCACTGGATACTGTTGGGTCCCCCCCCCCACTTCCTTCTTCACTCTCCCGGATGGTGGGCCCACTGTTGTGACCCTGATTTTCTTAGCGACAACATACAAGGTTACTCACTGAGGGCCAGCAAAGGTCAAAGAAGTGCATAAACAGGCCGAGGCCGCCCTTGTAGCTCTGAGTCCCCCAGGGATCTTGAATCGAGGGACACTGTGCTTGACAGGCCGTGCAAGATTTCACAGCACAAAATTGCTCTAAGGAGGAGCTCACTGAGGCAAGTTCTGAGGACAAAGGAGGGAGGGGGACTGCATATTCCAGTAATTCCAGCAAGGCTTGCTGGTCCTCCAGCCTGCCCCACCTGCCCTGTGCCCAGCAAGGCTGTCTTGGTTCTGTTTGATCCCAGCCTCAAAAGAGCATCAGGCCAGGCAGTAGCTGTATTCATTCCTGGCCCCAGCCTTGCCAGGAGACCCTCAGAGCCAATTGGGCTCTAGGTTCCACGCCTCTGGCCCCTCCCACTGGCAGTAAGCCCCAAAGCCTCCAGCTTCCCGCACTAGCTAATTCTAGTTGTCCCCTTTAAAATAAAATAAAATAAATAAAAGCGCCTATTTGCTTTACCGAAACTTAACCCACAAAGCATGATAGCGGTGTTTTCTGGAGCATGGGGAGTCTAATAACCATCACTATGATCGACGTTACAACGCTTTAATCTTAAAAAAAGGAGACCTGGCACCCAGTCACAGCCCTCCAGCACTGGGGAGCCACCAGTACAATCTCTGTGCCCGTCGAGCTGTCTGTTCTTAAAGATTTCAGATGAAGGACCAGATGACATCCTTCACCCTTCTGAGCTCCCTTAATCTTGTCCACACCTGTGTAAACAACCCCTCCAACAGAACACCCCTCAGTAACCCTTTTATGGACACTTGGTCTCCCTGGGACCCTTAGCTTAGACTTGTTTACCAGCAAGAGATGATGAAGAGGAGAGCAACAGTGATCTGAGAGCAGGAAGGGCATTCCTAGCTGCGGCCGTGGGGTGTAAAGTGTGCAATAGACATGACCATGACAGCAAGCATAGAATTTGGGCATTGTGAAAGCCGAGGGGACCATGGCTGCCCTTTGAGGTTAAGTTGCTTGCAGGGCCCTGGGGAGAATGTCCAGCAGCATTGAGGTGCAGAAGTCCATAGCCAACACCCTGGTATGCTCTGAGTATCTCCTGCTTGCTTCAGTCTTAGAACTAAGCCCCAGAAAGAGACTCCACAAGCACTCCGGTCCTTTGATGTAGTCTTGGACATGGTGGACGTAAACATCTCCGTAGACCTTCTTGAAAAGTTTCTGTACACCGATACGCCTCCCCGCAGATGCAGCAATCCGAATCAGTCCAGATCAAACCGAATTAGGAAAAGGTCCACGTTTAATGCATACAGCGTTCCCGGCTTGGCCTTCCAGCTCCCCAGAGAGGAGATGGGAAAGGGAGACCAGAAAAACCATGAGTCTGTTCTCTGAGGGGCAGTTTAAATACCCTGTGGGAGTGGTCTCCAGCATCTCTGGGGGGGGTCATCTTTGGCAGGTTTTCTGAGATGCAGTAGGGTTTGGAGGGAGATGGGGGAGGGGAGCTTGGGTGGAACATCCACCCTAACACTTCTAGAGGACTCCATATCTCTGCCTGCTTTGATCCCTCCCCACAGACCACTTACGGGTTCCCTCGGAACCTTCATTCTTCCGGTTTCTTTCTGTTTGTCTAATCCTGTAAGCCATCACATCCAATACAATGGGAGGTTACCTTTAATGGAGAGAGAGAGGAAGGAGACCCGAGAGGACAGTCAGGTCGATGGTGCGTGCCGTGACGTCCCCAAGGGCCAGGTGTGTGTGTGCGTACCACAACCTGCCATGCATGTCACGGAAGGGAAGACTGCAGGCGACCGTGAGGGAATGCCAGCCTGAGAGGACAGGAGGGAGAAGAGAAACCCAAGCAAGGGAGTGACAAACAGCCTCAGAAATTCAGCAGGACCCACAGAAAGAACAGTTTCTGGGACTCGAGAAGAAGGAGGGTTGCCAGGGGTAGAGATTTCGGAAAGACGGAGGCACTGGTGTTCTCTGGGCTCAACCACCGGGAGGGTGTGAGGAACTTCTACAAGGACATCTCTCTCTGAAGCTGGTCTTGGAAGACTGCATCTCTGTCTCTTGCTCTCTCTGTCTGTCTCTGTGTGTGCGTGCGTGCGTGCATGCGTGCATGTATGTGTGTGTGTGTGTGTGTGTGTGTGTGTGTGTGTGGTTTCCGCCTCACGAAAGCAGGACTAGGAAGTGGATACGGAGGAAGGGAGGTGTGATTCCTCTCTCTCTCTGGAGAAGTGTGTTGGTGAAGAGAGGAGAAAGAGAGGATGTGGAATGGAGAAAACAGAAGCCAAGGACGGCCACAGAGGATAATGAGGGCACCGGTTGGAGGAGCGTGCAGGGCTGGGAACAGGACCAGCAGAACTTTAAACTTGGCTTGGCTTGTTTCTGGATAATATAGTCATTTTAAGGGTAAAGGTGCCTAATCTCAAATGGTTTTGCCTTTGGTTTCCCTCTGTGCACTGGTAG